ACAAGACGCACGCTGTACAAAGACGATGACGTACGCAAAACAACAGGCACACACCACACCCAGCAGGCAATCCACCTAGACAGGCAATCCACCTAGACAGGCACTCAGGCACCAAGCACACACATGCACATAAAAGCACACCTTGTGCATCAGACTCACATGGCATAGAGATGCAGCTACCACAGACTCATACACATCACACAAACCCGTGACACACCCTGCCACACACACAAACTCACACGCTGCACAAAAACTCCCTCACAGAGAACCGCAGACATATCGCATGAAGATACATTCACCACAGACACACACACACAGTGCACATACAATATACCCTCAGAGACCCTCAGACATATCTGTGAGCTACAGAGCTACATTCGCCAGGGATACACACACACACACACACACACACTCTCTCTCTCTCTCTCTCATATGTACACAAACACATTATGCCTTCACGGAGACCCTCAAACATTCACCATGGATACACAAGCACACACCCCACACTTTACCCAGGCCCTCCATCCTCCTGGAGCCCAGGCCACTCTTCCCACTGTGAACATGGGACGAGGGAGGGGGCAGACAGGATTTCCCTCCCTCCTTCCCATCTGCCTTCTCTACTTTGGCCCTGCTCGTGGGCCCTGAGGATGAATCCACTGTGTCCTCTGAGGCCCCCTGGGATCTGCTGTGAGTTCCCAGGGACAGGCAGTTGACACAAAGCGGTGGGCACAGTGGGGAGTAGAAGAGGGACCTATGAGACTCTGAAGCCTCCTGTTTCACTGTCCCTGAGCCCCAAGCTCTGGGACATGAAGTCCCCGGGGCAGCTTTGCCCTTACCTGTGGCTCCCAAAGCCTCACTGCTCCCCAGGCCTCCCTGAGAACTGTGTTACACATGGGAAGCAGGAGAACTGTGGGATATGCAGTCTCTCTACTCCCCCCAGGAGGTCTCAAGTCCTGGCCTCAGAGATGAGGTAGCATCCTACCACATCCAGACACCCCATATCCAAGAGCCCCCATCCCAAGCAGGTTGTGAAAACGATGGCACAAATTATCCTGCCCACCCTGGGGACCCTGTCTACTGGGAAATCATGGCAGGATCCTCCAAAAGAAACCCAAGCCAGGGTTCAAAGTGAGCAGAGGAGAGCAGGCCAGTACAGCAGGGGGAGACCTCTAGATTTGTCCAGCAGGTGAAAGGGATCTTCAAAATTATCTAGGTCAACTGTGCATATTTCTGAAATCCCCATACCATTTCCCAATTTTGCATTAAGTGCATAATACTGTGTGCCACCTCATTGATTTTTGCCAAATCTACAGGCTCCTAGTCTGGGTGCAGTGGCTCACGCCTGTAATCCCAGCACTTTGGGAGTCAGAGGTGGGTGGATCACAAGGTCAGGAGATCAAGACTATCCTGGCCAACATGGTGAAACCCCATCTCTACTAAAAATACAAAAATTAGCCAGGCATGGTGGTGTGCACCTGTAATCCCAGCTACTGGGGAGGCTGAGGCAGGAGAATTGCTTGAACCCAGAAGTCAGAGGTTGCAGAGAGCCGAGATCATGCCACTGCACTGCAGCCCAGTGAAAGAACTAGACTTCGTTTCAAAAAAAATAAATAAATAAAAACACCTACAGACTCCCTGTATTGTTTGCTACTTCTTTTCTTTTTCTTTGTTGAGATGGAGTCTCACTCTGTCACCCAGGCTGGAGTGCAATGGCAAGATCTTGGCTCACTGCAACCTCTGCCTCCCAGGTTCAAGCGATTTTCCTGCCTCAGAATCCTGAGTAACTGACACTACAGGCACATACCACCATGCCCGGCTAATTTTCGTATTTTTAGCAGAGATGGGGTTTCACCACATTGGTCAGGTTGGTCTTGAACTCCTGACCTTGTGATCCTCCTGCCTCGGCCTTCCAAAGTGGTGGGGTTACCGGTGTGAGCCACCACACCCAGCACTTATTTTCTTTAAATTGACACTTTGGCCAGGGACAATGGTGGCTCACACCTGTAGTCCCAGCTATTCGAGAGGCTGAGGTAGGAGGATCACTTGAGTCCAGGAGGTCAAGGCTGAGGCGAGCCAAGCTCAGGCCTCTACACTCCAGCCTGAGCGACAGAGTGAGATCCAGTCTCCATAAAAAAATACACATTAAAATAAATAAATTGACACTTTTAACTTAAATGCAACTATTTTCAACAGAAACCATGTTATTAGTATAAATGGAAAGCCAATATCACTTTTAATAAATAGAAAATGATGATAAAACAAATATAGTAAAAACAAAATTACATTATTATGTTTTAGCTACATGGAGTTGCCAGCCAATGTTCTGAGCCTAGCCTCAGAGCTCTCTGTTAAAAACGGAGGGCAGCCAGTGTTGGAAAGTTGTTAAAGACACACTAGAAATTTCACTGACACTTTCTCCCTTGGACAATCTTGGATTTGGTAGTGTTGAAAGGGAACCAACTTTCTCACTATGTGAGCCAGGGTTATGCAATGGCACTGAAAGTCATCCCGGGTCCCACTCCACACTGGGAAGCTCTAGGCTTGTCCACCTCCTGCAGGAGTTAGAGCACAGTGGCCAGCTAGTGCCTTACTGCTGCAGCCCATTCTAGTAATAACAACCCTTTAGAGATTGCTTGGTCCTTTCCTATTCACAAACTGTCATAATGGCCACCATCTAATATGAGTCTCAGAGCAGGAATTATCATCCCCATTTCTGAATGAGAAAAGTGAGGCTCAGAAAGGATAAGAGATGTGTCCATAGTCACAGAGCCAGCTCCACAGGGCAGATCCACAAGTCAGAGACTTGACGCCCACCCAGACACCTTTTATACTCTACCTGCATCCATCTATCCCACAGGTGGCAGTCCTTGCTGGGCAGTGGGGAAAGAGAAAGGATGGTAATGTGCTATCTGCCTGTGAGACCCTCACAATCCCAAACAGCAAGCAGGCAAGTCAGCAAATCACTGAGATTAAGAGAGGTGAAGAGCTTTAAAATCTAGCCTGTAAATAAATGCCTGAACTGCAGTTTCCTTGTCTGTAAAAGGAGTTGACAGGCTGGGTGTGGTGGCTCACACCTGTAATCCCAGCACTTTCAGAGGCCAACATGGGAGGACTGCTTGAACCCAGGAGTTGGAGACCAATCTGGGCAACATGGTGAAACCCTGTCTCTACAAAAAAAATATGAAAATGAGCGGGATATGGTGGCATGACTCCATACCTAGCTACCAAGGAGGTTGAGGTGGGAGGATTACTTAAGCCTAGGAGTTCAAAGTGTAAGTGACAAAATGTGACCCTGTCTCAAAAAAAAATTAGCCAGGCATGGTGGTGTGCACCTGTAGTCCCAGCTATTGGGAGGATTATTTGAGCCTAAGAAGTTGAGACTGCAGTGAGCCATGTTCAAGCCACTATGCTCCAGCCTGGGCAACAAAGTGAGACCCTGTCTCTAAATAAATAAATAAATAAATAAATAAATAAATAAATAAATAAAATGGGAGCAATAATAGTACCCATCTTATAGGGAATGAAGGTTAAATGAAATGTGTGAACGCAATGTCTGGCACAGAGTAAGTGCTAAAAAAATGTTTATTACCAGGGAAGTACAAAGAACAGAATCAGTACAAGTCAAGAATGAGTGACGGGGGGAAGGTGGGGTAGATATAGTTTGATTTTTTCACTGAGGAAAAGAATGAGTATGTCTTGGAGGATGAAGATTGTGGTGGGGAAAGACTCTTCTGACTGCTCCTGTCTTCCTCTTCCCTCTCTCCTCACTCCAAAGAAAGGTGAGAAAATTCAGGCTTTCCTCTCCCTCCCTCTCCTCAGGCCCCTAAATGACATTTGGCAGGTTTTTCAGATCCTGTTCTGGGCACTGCTGCCCAAGAAAAGTCTCCCCTGTAAGTCACAATTCCAGGCCTTTTTTCTCCAGCTGCTGTCCAGATGGAAGGCTGGGGCTCAGGCCCAACTGCCTGCACCCACCTTGGCACTCTAAGAATTCCAGATGTCTTTGGAAGTCCTTGCCCAGCTAACAAAGATGCTCCTTCACTGAGGGGGGCACTGAGAGCCACGTTTGCATGTCTCTTTGATCCTTCCCAGTAGCTACAGATGATTGGACTAGGATGGGCACCTGCCCCATTCTGAGCCAATCAGATCCTCTCCTGGGAGTTTGGGATTGGATCTGCCAAGCCCCACATTGTCTCTCTCCATGTGGCTGAAACCGAGAGACACAATACTGGAAGTATAGGTGACTTGGTATCTGAAAAGGCAGAGATGTTCAGTTTGTGGAGACAGAAAGGCAAAGACGGCCAACAGGGTCCAGAGAATAGCTGCTTCAAGTTCTCTTGGCCTCCAGGTCCCGCCTTCCTGAAGCTAATGCTTTTCCTTCCCCTTAGTTCCTGGGAATCCCTTGTATCCTCATAATAAACCCTTCTTTATTACTGAAGCTGGTTTGAGTGGGTTTCTATATATAAGCAAAGACCTAATTAAGACAAGAGAGAAGCTGGGAGCCGGAGGTACGCAGATGAACAATCCTGAACAAATAATCACTGAGCCCAGGTCAGTGGGAGACAGCGAGTAAGAGATGTAGACTTTGCACAGATGTGGCCGAGGGAGGGTGGGCTAACTCTCCCCAGGGAGGGGTGGAAGGGCTCTGCAGATTTCACAGCAAAGGTAGCAACTGGGCTGATTTTGAAGAATTAAGGACGTTCTCCATGGAGACAAAGTAGGGGTGGGGAGGCATTACAAGCAAAGGGAACAGCAAGTGCAGATGCACGGAGACTCAAAACAGCCTGGTGTGTTAGAGGGACTGCCAGGAGTTCAAAGTGTGGTGGGGAAGCAGGGGAGACAGGCAGTCGGGCGCACATCATAAAGAGCTTTGAATACCATGATAAGAAGCCAAGGCCTTTTCCTGTCAGTGATGGGGAGCTATTGAAGTATTTTAAGTAGCAGGGGGTGACAGGGTCAGTTCTGTGTTTTAGAAAGATTGTTCTGGGGCTGCCTGGAGAAAGGGCTGGAAAAGGCAGGCCTGGAGGCAGGGACCAGTTAGGAGGCTGCAGCACTCCTCATCCAGTTCCTTCACTCACCCAACAGCTCCCTGTGTACCTACTGTGCACTGGGGTGAGGCAAAACAGGATTCCTGAGCCTACAGAGTCCATAGTCTAGCATGAAAGAGACACGACGGAAAAACGATTCGAGTGCACTGAACGTCATGAAGAAGTACAAGGTCCTCTGGAGCGGGGTGCTGTTTACTGTCTAGTTTTTAGGCTTCCCTGCGGAAATGACGTTCAAGCTGGTATCTATCTGAAGGATAAGTAGGAGTTAGCAGGGCTCCGAGAGGGGGCGTGCATTCCAGGATTGGGGACAACACGTGTGGAAGTCCTGCAGCTGACGAGCGGGAGAGTGGCGGAAGAAGACACAAAAAGGTAGGCAAGAACCAGATCCCACAGGGCCTCAGAGACTGCGTCAGTGCATCTGGCTTTCATTCCAAGAAGGCTTGGAAGGGTCCTAAGCAGGGAAATGATACAATCCAACGTTTATCCTAAGAAGATCATGAAAGAAAGCGGGGAAAGAACAAATGTCAGGAGACCAGGTAGGAGGCTGTCACAGTGGCCCAGGTGAGAGCCAACAGTGGCCCGGAGGAGGCGGTGGGCAGCAAGAGGGTCTATGGACTCAAGGCAGAGATTCAGGAGGACTAACAGGACTTGCTGAGGACTGGCTATGGGGGTGCAAGATGGGGAGAGGGAAGTATCCAGGGGAACTTCCAGCTTTCCAGCTTGACCAGGTGGGTGGATGGGGTGCCAGAGATGAACCGGGGAGCCTAAAGACAGAGCAGGTGCAGGTGGGAGAGTCCAGAGCCGGGTCTGGACCTGACCTGAAGCTGATTGTGAGACATCTAAGTGTGGTCCAGGTAGCAGCCACACCTGCAGATTGTTGGGGCTTTTTTTTTTTTGAGACAGGGTCTCACTTTGTCACACAAGCTGGAGTGCAGTGGCACAAACACAGCTCACTACAGCTTCAACCTCCCAGGCTCAAGCGATCTTCCCACTTCAGCCCCCCAAGTAGCTGAAGTAGCTGGGACCACAGGCTACCATGCCCAGCTAATTTTTGCATTTTTTTTTTTGTAGAGATAGGGTTTTGCCATGTTGCCCGAGCTGGTCTTGAACTCCTGGGCTCAAGTGATTCGCCTGCCTCAGCCTCCCAGAACTTTGAGGAGGTGTGAGCCACCGCACCCAGCCAGACCTGCAGATCTTGAACCCAGAAGAGATCATTAAAGTCAAGAGTGTAAATGAGATTACCTGGAAGGTACGAAAGGAGGGGGCAAAACAGTGGGAAGAGGGATTGGGGCAACTTGAGGAGCCATGGAAGCAGCAGGACCTAGGGGCAGAGTGACAGGGGGCTCTGAGCTTGGCAAATCAGAACCATGAAATGCAGAGGTTACCTTCTCTCAACCCCAGAAGGCACCAGGCTCTGGCTCCCCCTCTCCTGGCAAAGCATCATGCCCTTAGCCTGGATTCTTCCCAGCTGCCACAGCCCTCCCTTCCCCACTGCACTTCTTCCCCTTGGGCAAACTCTAAGTTATCCTTTAAACTCAGTGCAGGTGGCCGCTCCTCCTAGGTGGAGACTTCCTTGGTGTACTCATTGCTCTGCAGTTGGACAACCTGGTTTTGAATCCCAGCTCTACCACTTGATAGCTGTGTGACTTTGTACAGATAACCTCAGTTTCCTCATTCATACCATGGAGATGATAACAGTACCTACCTCATAGGGTTATTTGAAGATGAGTGTGTAAAGTGACGGGCAGAACTAGCACACAGTATTCACTAAGTAAGTGTTATTCTTATTAACGTCCCACCTACCTTGGGACGGTTAGTCATGCCCTCTACCTCACACTTGGGAACTGTTTGCAAGTCTGTGTCTTACCCTGCCTCTTCCTGCCCTACCCGATTGGTAGGGCTATATAATATGCAGAGCCCAGTGCTAAATGAAAACGCAGGACCCCTTGTGCAAAGTTACTAAGAATTTTAAGATGATGTCAGCAGAACATTAAACTAAGTGTGGGGTCCTTCTAGGCACAGGGCCCTGCATGACCATAGATTCTTGAAACCAGCCCTGCTCCCACCCGCAGCCAGCCCTGGGCCTGACCCAGAGTTGATGTCAGCCCTCACACAACAGAGTAAAAATGCCAACTGACATTGAAACAGGGCTTTTATGATTTCCACGTGGAACCGCACTTTATCCTTTTCCTAGATATAACATTAACTCCATTTTATAGTTGAGGACATCAAAGTTCAGAGATGGGTATGCCTTCCCAGAGATCGCTCAGCTCAGGAACTGCAGAGCTGGGATGTGAACACAGACCAGCCTGGTGCCAAAGCCCTGCGTCTTGCCCTCTGGCTCCCCAGGGAGGTTGAGAAAACCTGGCCCCAAGGGCTGAGCTTAGTCAACAAGGCTGCGATGCAGCTTAGACCGGAGAGAGGGAGCTGGAGGGACTGGGACCGGCCCCCCTCCCTCCTGGGGCCAGCCACATAAACAACGGGTTCCCTGGGACTGAGGCTGCGGCACTGGGAAAGGGGTAGGAGAGGGCAAAAAGTCACTCTCAAGAAGGCTCTGCCTGAGGGCCACAGACCCTAACGTTCTGAGGAAAGCTAATCCTGCCTTTTCTGCCTTAAACCCTTTAGGGATTGCCATTGGCCCCGGCATAAATTCCCAAGTCTTTAGTATCCTGCTAGACTAGGAAATCTGGCTGGGCTGTCCTGGGCCTACCCACACTGCCCTCTCTCCACCACTCCAAGCCTGTTCTCACCATCACCAGGGCCTCAGACACACTGTTCCCCTCCCTCATTCCTTCTTTGCCTCTACAACTCCTTGGCACCCTTCATGACTCAGCTGAGATGTCCACCTCCAGGAATCTTTCCCAGACTACAGAGGGCAGGAGAGCAAATTCAGTGACAGGTTCCAGAGCTCCCCTGAGTCCCTCCTTTCTACACATGTCACATGTGTAATTACTTGATCTGGGTCTTGACCCCACTAGAATGTCAGCTCCGTGAGGGCAGGGGCCACCTGGCGCATAGAGCCTGATTTATCAGAGGTACCTGGTGGACTGAATGCATCATCCCGCCACAGAGTTAAGAGGGCTGGGCATTCTTCCTCCTTTTTTCTTCATTCCTCCTGGACCCTCCTTTTCTTGTCTAGGCTTCTTGACCTCAACCTATGAAGAGCCCAAACTTGCAAGGGGAAGAGAACCATCATACAGGATGCACCCTCCACTTGCCAACCCTGGACTAGGTACATACAGTACATCTGGTTACTACATTTAATTCCCTACCCACATTCCAGATGGGGTGGGGCAGTACAGGTAGAAATTATTCTTCTTTTCCAGAAGAGACTGAGACTTAGGAGTTGAGGCCACCTGCCTGAAGTGGTAACAGTTTGGAGGCGGAAGGCATTAGATTTTAATCCTGTCTGTCTGATGCCCAAGTGCCTGGTCTCTTCTCTGCCCCAAATCATACAACCCCTGTGACTCACCATTCCCAGCAAGCTCACCTCCAACCAGAGCTCTCTTGTTTCTAACCCCCGCCTTCAGTTCATACACACCCCAGCTGGTAAAGCTCTTCCGTCAGGTCAGCGATATATCAGTGTAGGAGACAGCCCCACTGTCAGTGAGAGGCCAGTGTAGAAGTCACTCCTCCCTTGGGTCAACAAAATGCCAGTGTGGGAGAAACACCCCCATCATCAGCAAAATGCCAGTACAGGAGATGCATCCTGCACCCCAAGTCAGCAGATTGCTAGCAGGAGAGACAGTGCCACAGTCAGCAAAGGGCCAGTGTGAGAGACACTTCCCTCCTCTGCTGGAGCCCATGATATGGACTGGGCGGGGGTGTGGTGGTACACACAGAGAGCTCTCCAAGGTGGTGCCCCTGGAATGAGAGGAGGCACAGAGGCAGCTGTTGCCTGGGAAAGGTTGTGGCTGGGGAGTGGGGCAGAGTCAGGTGAGAGTTCTCACATGGCACTAATGAAATCAACCACCAGCCTGCTCCCCCCTCCCCAGGGACCCTCCAGGCTCCAGCTGATGCAATGCCCAGGCCAGATAATTATTTTCTTCTCTCCTTAAAGGGCCAGCTGCTATTGCAGCTGCAGACATCACCCAGACTCCTGACAGACCCCACAGAGCTCAGCATCTGGGCAGGAAGTTGGGAAGCCCAGAGAGTAGCAGCTTTAGGCCTGGGCTCCTCGCAGTAAAATCCAATTGAAGTCCAGAGACCAGAAGCGTCGTTGAGCAAGGAGGGAGGGAGAGAGACTAGTTAAGACAGTGACACAGGCCACATGCCCTGAGAGAAGGATCGTGGTCCCTGCTGGGTCCTCAGCACCTGGCTCCTGCACACCGGCCCCAGCAAGTACGTGGCACAGGGGTTGCTCATGAGTTCAGCAGTGATCTGCTGAGCCCTCCTGAGTGCCAGGCACTGTGCTGCGCAGCTCAAATCCACCATTTCACTCACTCCTTCCTGTTACCTACATAGCAGCTGGGTTTGTTTTACTGAAAGAGTCTCAGAGAAGGGAAGTGATTTCCTCAGTATCACACAGCCAGAAAGTGGCAGAGCTTGGGTTTGAAGCCAAGTTTAACCAGCTCTGGGCTTCATACCCTGCAAGGGGTCGGGTAAGTGTAGAACCCCAAGGCTGAAGTCCCTAAGCAAGGCAGTCAGGCACAGAAGGCAGGAAAGGGGTCTGTGAGCACTAAACAAACACCAAAGGGCATGGGGCTTGGTTTAAGCACAAGTTGCATGGGCCACCTCCCCAGCACGTTCCTGCCCAACCCACCCACCCCTCCTCCTCAACCAAGAATGCCCCATTAAGCTACCCACATGCCCCTAGGGACAGTTGGCAGCTGCCTGATTACAGACTAATTGATGGCTAGCAGCAACTGTGGTGTGGGGGGGGTGGGCAGGGAGATCGCTCATTAACCCCTTGGTGACCAGGCCTAATCCTCCTCCCATGACTTCAGGCCCCAAACCCAAGAAACCCAGACTGAAGAAGTCATTATGGATAGAGGACAGAACCAAAGGGGCAGCAGCCTGCTTCCCTACATCCTGATAACATCCCTGGGGCTAGGGTTGGACACTGATATTCACCCAGGTGTCCAAGTCCTCAAGGGCCACATTCAAACAGGCCCCAAGTGCCAGTGCCAGCTAGAGAGCCTTGGTATGCCAGTTGCTCTCCCCATTCCAGGATCCTTCCTGAGCTTTCAGGACCAGGACACTGAAGAAACCCACTCCTCAGGGCTGAGTTGTCCAGAGGTGATGGGGACACGGGGTCCAGGTACCCAGGCCGTCAGTCAGGGAAGAATCCTCCCCATGAATGACAGCGTGCCCAAGTTGCCCATCAAGGGTCTTGCCAAGCCTCCCTGGACCCTGGGCTCTGCACCATTCTGCTGACCAACTGCTTTCCCAGCTTCCCAAAGCCCCCTCCTCCCACCCTAGGGCTGGAGTGAGCAGCACTTTTTTTCTTTCATGGGGCTCAGGGTCGGGGAGCGGGGCGGGGGGGGGGGTCCTCTGGCCACCACAGCAATGTCACGTTGGGAGGAAAAAGTGACTGCTTCTCAACCAGGGCACAGGCAGGAGGGAGAAAGGTAGGCTGCCTTCCAGCTCCCTTTCCAGGAGGGATTTTAGGCACTTTCCAAAAATGCCATGCCAGGCAATGCTATTGAGGGTCCCAGGAGCTCTAAGCAGCGGCAAAGAACTCAAGACTCTGGGACCCCGTCCCCATTTTCCAGGCTTCCCCAAACACCCCATGTCCCTCTCTCATCCCTTAGCCCCAGCCCCAGAGCTCTCTCTGAGCACCCTGTGCTCATCCCCCCCACCCTCGCCCCTGCACAAACACACACATCCCTACGTTGCGCTCCAGGGCCAGAGACCCCCTCCCCCCGTGGTCCTCCAGACCTCTGCAGCCCCCTCCCCACGTCCACTACCAGGCAAGCAAGGCCTGCTGACTTACCCGGAGGTGGGGCCGGGGTCCAGACAGGGAGGAGGGCTCCGCAGGCCGAGGCGGCTCCGCAAGGCGGGGCAGGTGCTGCCCCGGTACCCCGCCCCGCGGACCCGGCAGTAGGCGCGGCCCGGCCCCAGGCGGGCGCGGACTCCGAGTGGGTAGGCACGCGGGGCGGGGAGGGGCGGCGAGGGAGGCTCACGGGGGCATCGCCCGCCACCAGGGGGGCAGCTCCGCTCCACCCGCCTGCGCTGCCGGCTCCGCAGCAGCCACCGTTCTCAGTCGCCGCCGGGTGCAAAGCCCAAGCTCTGGCTGGCGGGAGGCGAAGGGGAGGCGGGGCCTGATGGGGGCGGGGCCGCGTGGATGGGCGGGGTCAATGGGCCGGGCCTCGGTGGTGGGCGGGGCCTAGGGGAATCCGGGACGTTTGGCTTGCCGGGTTGGGGGAGACCTGCATTAATGAGGCATCGAAGAAGCAGTGTTTGGGAACGCTTCAGGCCTCTACAAGTCCCTAAGACGCTCCTGCCACCTGCCCGGCCTCCTCTCTCCACCACCACCCCATCTGTTCTTTCTCATCCTTCCTTCTCTTTGGGGCACCTCCCAGGACCTCACAGGCACCGCGGTGGCCTCTGCCCTATCCTGGACCAGTTCCAGGAACGTCAGATGGTGAGAAGAAACGACTTACAAACGTCAAGTCCATCTTACAGATGGAAAAACTGAAGTTCAGAGAGGAGAAAAGACTTGCCCAAGTGCCTGGTATGAAGAGAAAGACTATACTGTCCCTTTCAGACAGAAGGATGTAGAGTGGCCGGCCCCGAAGCCCAGGTTAACCTCCTTGCCCTGCACTCTCTACTTCATCTAGAGCAATGGTTTTCAACTTAGGGCGATTTTGCCCCCCAGGGAACATTCTACCATGTCTGGAGACGTTTTTGGCTTTCCCAATGAGGAGGTTGCTACTGGCATTTCATGAGAAGAGACCAGGGATGCTGCTACACGCCTTCCATGCACAGGATAGCCCCCGCGCCAGAGAATTGTCAGGCCCAAAATGTCAGCAGGTTTCTGAGGCTGAGAAACTGTTCTAGGGCTTGGCATCTGCCTAAATAAACCTCCAAATGGACTCCTGGAGGCCTGGGTTCTTCTGCAGCCGGGGAGGATATTGTATAAAGTCTATCCTAGGGTCATGCCTGCCCCAACTTGTCTATTTCACCTTGCTTAGGACTGGTCAGTTCCACTCTTGGGGTTCGTGGTTTTGAATTCCACTCATTGACAGAGAGGACAGAATAATTAATATTTGCTGGAGGCATGTAAAACCAGTAGTCTCCCTGCTGAGGGCATGAATGAAAATGTAAATGGGGGCCTGGTACAGTGACCCAGGCTTGTAATACCAACGCTTTGGGAGGCCAAGGTGGGTGGATTGCTTGAGGCCAGGAGTTCAAGACCAGCTTGGCCAACATGGTAAACCATATCTCTACTAAAAATACAAAAATTAGCCAGGCATGGTGTCTGGCACCTGTAGTCCTAGCCACTCAGGAGGCTGAGGTACAAGAATAACTTGAACCCAGGAGGCAGAGGTTGCAGTGAGCTGAGGTCACACCACTGCACTCCAGCCTGAGTGACAGAGGGACTCTGTCTCAAAAAAAAAAAAACTAAATGGGGAGGTGGAAGGTGGGGAGAAAACAAAATTATTGGGATTAAGGCCTCCTTCTGGGGATGGCTAGGAGGCATAGTCATCCTATGCCTTCCTTCTCACCTGGTCTGTGAGAAGCATAAACTGAGGCCCCACAATGTGAAAAGCCTCAAAGTGGGTCGCATAGCTGGTCAGAGGTGGAGGTGGGACTTCTGATTTTATTTATATATTAATTAAAGCTTTGTCATCATCTATTCTACTTCAGGCCTAGGCCTGGAACTAGGGCCTGGGTGGTAGAATGATTGCTCTAGAGCAGCAAGGGGGGACTAGATTAGGGGAGGCAGGATAGAGGCCAGGGCAGGACCTGGAACAATGGTGGAGGTGAAAAGTGGGAGTGCAGAGAGGAATCAGGTTTCCCCTGTGATCCTCGCTGGCACCTTTCACAGAGACACATAAACCAGGGGCTCCTTTTGTACATCTGATGAAAACTTTGCATTATTTCTGGAGAAATGTGCAACATACAGTTTGCTTATAATTTCAGTAACTCCAAACTCCAAAGTTCTATACTGACTACCAGAAGGATTGGATGGGAGGTGGGTGGGGAAGAGGGTTGATTCTTAAGTGTATATAGAATAAACATACAGGAATAAAAAGTCCAGGAAGAGGCCGGGTATGGTGGCTCACGCCTGTAATACCAGCAGTTTGGGAGGCCAAGGTGGGCAGATCAGGAGTTCAAGACCAGCCTGGTCAACATGGTGAAACCCTGTCTCTACTAAAAATACAAAAAATTAGTCAGGCGTGGTGGCTCATGCCTGTAATCCCAGCTACTCTGGAGGCTGAGGCAGGAGAATCACTTGAATCCAGGAGGCAGAGGTTGTAGTGAGCCAAGATCACACCACTGCACTCCAGCCTGGGCAACAGAGCAAGACTCCATCTCAAGAAAAAAAAAAAATTCAGGAAGAAAAGTAATGAAAAGGGATTTGTTTTAGCTGATACTAAACATACTATAAAGTCAATGTATTTAAAACAGTATGGTATTGAAGCAGGACTAGACTGATCTGTGGAACAAAATGGAGAACGGAAATGGATCCAGACCCACAAAGGAATTCAATCTATGATAAAGATAGCACTTTATAGCCCAGCACAGTGGCTCATTCCAGTAATCCAAACACTTTGGGAGGTCAAGGTGGGTGGATCACTTGAGACTAGCCTGGGCCACATGGCAAAACCTTGTCTCAAAAAATAACACAAAAATTTAGCTGGGCATGGTTGCACACACCTGTAGTCCCAGCTACCAGGGAGACTGGAGTGGGAGGATTACCTAAGCCTGGGAGGTCAAGGCTTCAGTGAACTGTGATCACGCCACTGCACTCCAGCCTGAGCATCAGAGCAAGACTCTTGTCTCTAAATGAATGAATGAATGAATAAAAGATAGCACTTCAGACAAATGGGAAGGGGGTCTGACAGGGAGTGGGGAGGGGAGATAAGCCTTTCAACAAATGGGTGGAATAACCAGCAAGCCTTTTAGGGAAATTACAAAAAGCTGTGCCCTTATTCTACACAGAAATAAATTTCAGGAGGAGCACATATTTAACACCATAATGTATCAGAAAAAAAGTCATGAGTGAATATTTTAATAATCTTGGAGATAGAAGACTTTCTAAGCATAATGAAACCTAGAAGCCATAAGAGAAAACATGGAAATATTTGACTACAAGACTTCTATACAGAAAAAATGGCCATAAGCCAATGTGAAAGACGAATGACAAAACGGAGGGGATCAATCTTGGTTGTCCTCCACTCTGCCCCCTCCTGCCCGCCAGCCCCTCCAAGCTAAGATGGATGAGCAGGAGGGACGGCTGGGGCAGTGAGAGCCCCAAGCACCTGGCAGAGGCTTCTCCCGTGGCACTCTGGCCAGCGCCCACATGTTCAGGGGCCGGGAAGCCCCGGAAACCCCAGGCGGGCCATCTGGGTCCTCAGCAGGTGCCTTGGCACAGCAAAGCCAAAGTCCGCCTGGAGGCTGCTCACCACTTCCCTCGAGTGGCCATCCTGGGTACTTCAATCTTCTGTTCCTGCTCATACCCCTTCTGAGTATCAAGGCGAGAATTTTAAAATAAATAAATAAATAACAACTAATTTTTTGAGGTAACTAACCATGTCCCAGGCATTGTGCTAAACACTTAACCTAGCATGTTTCATTTTCCCCTCAAGACAACTCTTCGAGGTAGGTCCACAGTATTCTCATCTCCATTTGATGGGAGCAAACTGAGGCTTGGAAAAAAGTGACTTGTCTAAGTGGTGGCACCAGGATTTAATGCCCCATTCCTGGCCTCAACTCTTAATGTATAAAGCCAGTCTTTGGAAAAATGCAATAAAACAAACTTTTTTGAGGTTTACCTTGATCCAGGTCTTTTGAAGGTGCTGGAGATTCCGAATTGAGGAAAATAGTCATCAGAGATGACAGCAGAGAAACACTCCTGATACAGCAAATCCTGATAGCTGCAGATGAATCATTCACCCCGGGAAGGGGTGGAGGCAGTGGGGAGGGATCCAGTGGGGCTTGGGGGCGGAGCAGTGATCTATGTGCTCTGAGTTTGGGGGTAGGCCACAGACGGAGCTGAATAAAGTAAACCAGGACCAAGCTAAGGAGTTTGGGCGCAAAGATTTTTTTGAGAGGTTTTCCATGTTTCACTTGGTTGGGTCTAGGGACAGCCAGCATGCTCTGCCTACCCAACCTGCCTCTTTTGCAGATGCCTCCCCGCCCCAGTTCAAGGTGCTCTCAGAAACTTGGAGTCCCTCTTGACTCCTTCCTCTTCCTCACTTCAATCCACTTAATTGTCAGGGTCGTCCAGTCTGCTTCCCCAATACTTCCTGGGTTCACCCACTTCTCTCCATCCCTCTTGCCTCTCCTCTAGTCCAGCCTGCCTTTCTGTCACTACTGAATTCAGCTGCTGCCAGTGACTTGGTCTCACCACCTTCAAACTTTTACACAAGAGAAAGCCTTCTAAAACAAATGTGACCAAATCCCCTCTCCTACTGAAAATACTTTTCATTGATTCATTCAATAAATGTCAAGTATTAATTATATTGTTATGCAGCCCTCATCTGGGATGTCCCACAGTATCTGCATCTAAACACATCCAGAATAAACATCTCCCCTCCAGGCTTCCCTGTCTTGGTGAAGAACATCACCACCCAAATCTTATTATATGTTGAGTATTCAAGATATAATTATGAGCCAATCATGGAATTTAAAGCCTATGGGGGTGACAGACATGAACCAAATGGCCCCCTAAATAATTGTGTAATGAAACCTGGGCTAGATGCTATGGGAGAGCCTGACCTAGCAAGGGAGATCTTCGAATGCTCCCCAAGGCATCCCATCTGAAGTTTGAATAGCATTCAGCCAGGTCAACAAGACAAGGATGTGTTAGAGCTTACGCAAAAGCCCTGCAGTTGCTTCTCTGAGTTTCTGTTTCCAGATCTCCACAGAAGGTGAGCAGATGCTAGTATCATGCTTCCTGTACAGCCTGTGGAACTGTGAGCCAATTAAACCCCCCCCCTTCTTTTTTTGCCCAGGCTGGTCTTGAACTCTTGATCTCCAGTGATCTGCCCACCTCATCCTCCCAAAGTGATGGGATTACAGGTGTGAGCCACCAAGACTGGCCTCCTTTTTCTTTATAAATTACCCAGTCTCAGGTATTTCCTTACAGCAATGCAAGAACGGACTAATACAGTTGGCAAATAAGTGATCACCACAATCATCCCATCTATGAAATGGTAGGGATAGGAGATAGCTAGATTATTTTTAAGGTTTATTCTGGTTCAAACATGCATAGGATTCCAAGTGTTGAGGTCAGTAGGACTCCAGAGACAGAGAGAAAAATCTATGTGTTCTGAAAGACTTGGCAGAAACTCCTTGGAGGCTATTTGTTATTCATTCATTGTCTTTTACTGAGCAGCTACTCTGAGCCACATGCTGTGTTGGGGGTGGTAGGGTAAACAAGACCTACCCCCAAACCAGTGTGGTGGCGCACATCTGTAATTTCAGCTACTCAGGAGGCTGAGGCAGAGGATTGCTTGAGTCCAGGAGTTCAAGGCTGAAGTGATCTGACTGTGTCACTGCACTCCAGCCTAGGTGATGGGGCAAAGCCCCATCTCTGAAAAAAAAGAAAAGCCCAGGTATGGTGGATTACAGTTGGTGATTATGTCTGTAATCCCAGCACTTTGAGAGGACAAGGCAGATGGGTTGCTTGAGGTCAGGAGTTCATGACCAACCTAACCAACATGGTGAAATTCTGTCTCGGTGAAATTCTGTCTCTATTAAAAATACAAAAATTAGCCAGATGTGGTGGCAGGTGCCTGTAATCCCAGCTACTCAGGGGGATGAGGCAAAAGAATCACTTGAACCTGGGAGGTAGAGGTTGCAGTGAGCCAAGATCACGCCACTGCACCTGGTGACAGACCAAAACTCCGTCTCAAAAAAAAAAAAAAAAACAAACTGAAAGTCAGATAAAAGAAAGCTCCCTCCTCTTGAATTTTTCACTTTAGGCTTTACCATTGCACCCTCAGGGTCCATTCCAGGAACAAAGGCCCAGGGAATAGCAGTTGCGTTTCCTAGGTTCTGCTGAATTTTCCTTCTTCTCTGAGATCCTTCTTCCCAATGTTCCCTCTGGCCTCATCTTCACGTTCTCTGCCAGGGCTGGGAATAGGGTCAGAGAAAAGGCACCGAGGGCACAAAAGTAGGGAGACAGTCACTTATGGGTCATGCAACGTGCTCCTGGCCCTCTTCCCACTCACACCCCAACTCTAGCTTTTCCCTGTACTCTGCTGGCATCTTGCTATCCCACATGTGGCTTCCTCTGTTAACAGTGAGCCTTGCCAACACTTGACTGAGGAAAGTTTGCTCCTGCTGACAAAAATGTCGCCTCCTCCTGGAAGTCTACTGCTTTCTCCAGTCATCCCTGCCCTTCTCCCTAAGCCAAGATGGTGCCCTGTGCTCTAACAGAATGGTGAAGACTGCACAGTGGTTAACAGGGCAGGCTTTAGCTTCAGAGCCCTGCTGTACTGTTTATTATCTGTGGACCACTCTCTGAGCCTGTTTCCTTCCACATGCCTGAAATGCAATGCTGGCATCACAGGGGAGTTGTAAATATTAAATGAGAAAATGTATGTGAAGTGAACAGTAGTGACTGATACATATACCAATCCGAAACATGATATAATAAAGACTGGAAAATAATTAGAATACATAAGCAGTTTAGAAGATGCATAAACAATAACAATAGCTACCACTTACAGTAAGTGGTTATTGTTTATACTTCTGAAGTGCTTGTGTATTCTAATTATTTTCCTGCCTTTATCGTCATTATATCATAAGTTTCTGGGAGCAAGAAGGAAGAAGAAGAGGAGGAAGAAGATAAATGACATTTAACCAGCATTATGACATGTCTGCTGAATAAATAAAGAAACGATAATTTCATGGGAAATGTTCTGGGCAAGAAATCTGGAATCCTGAGATCCAGTCACATGGTCCTAGTGATGGTACAGTTTCTGCCTCGCTCACATTCACTTTAAGGAAAAGCTGCCCAGACCACAAACCCTGCTGGACCATTCTTTAAACCACTTGGCCCCTCCAGCTTCTAGAGTTGAGCAGATAGGGCCAACACCAGAGTCAAGGGTCACCATTTCATATATTTGCTGCTGACCTCTGACCAATGTTGTATACTATGGTGTGAATGTGTTCCCCAAGGTTCATGTGCTGGAAACTTAATCCCCAATGCAACAGTGTTGAGAGGAGGGCCCCAGGATGTGATTAGCTTATGGGGGCTCTGCGGTCATGAATAAATTAATGATGTTATTGAGGGAGTGGGTTCCTGATAAAAGGATGCATTCGACCCCATTTTTTCTTCTTTCTCTTTCTCTCTACCCCTCTCTCTGTCCCTCCTCATGCTGTTTTGCTCTCTTGCCCTTCACCTGCTGCCATGAAACACACAGCAAGAAGGCCCTTGCCAGATGTTGACCCATCAATCTTAGACTTACCAGGCTTTAGAATTGTAAGAAATATGTATCTATACTTTATACATTACTTAGTCTCAGATACTCTGTTACAGCAGTACAAAATGAGCTAAGATAGCCTAGCACAACAATCTAAGATGGGCCAATTTGAGGCTTTCTTGAACCAAGGAACAGAAAGACATTGTTGACCAGGCACAGTGGCTTACGCCTGAAATCCCAGAACTTTCAGAGGTCAAGGTGGGAGGATCAGTTAAGCCCAGGAGTTTAAAACCAGCCTGGGCAACATAGTGAGACTTCATCTCTATAAAAAAAATTGTTTTTTTCTTTTTTTAATCTCTTCATCCCAACTTCAGTAAAAAAAAAAAAAATTTTTTTAAGTAGCCAAGCATGGTGGTACATGCCTGTATTCTCAGCTACTTTGGAGGCTAAGGTGGGAGGATCACTTGAGCTTGGGAAGCAGAAATTGCAGTGAGCCGAGATCACATCACTGCACTCCAGCCTGAGTGATAGAGTAAGACCCTGTCTCAGGAGAAAAAAGGAAAAAAAGAAAAGGGAAAGAAATTGTCAGGTGACAGAGGAAGTTCAAGTAGAGAAGTCAGAGACAGCTAGGTGTGTTGCCCAGCTTGGGCAACGTGGCAAAGCCCTGTCTCTACAAAACATTAGCCAGGCATAGTGACGCACGCCTGTAGTCCCAGCTACTTGGGAGCCCAAGGCAGCAGGAAGATTGTTTGAGCCCGGGATGTGGAGGCTGCAGTGAGCTATGATTTTGGCACTGTACTGCAGCCTGGGTGACAGAGCAAGACCCTGTCTGTCTCGCTCTCTCTCTTTCACACACACACACACACACACACACACACACACACACACACACACACACAAAGTCAGAGACAAGTAGGTCTTGGCCAAGAAAGCCATGTGCAGGCCCAAATAAGAAGGAGCAGAGACCTGGCCAGATACGGTGGCTCACACCTGTAATCCCAGCACTTTGGAAGGCCAAGGCGGGCAGAGCAACTGAGTTCGGGAGTTTGAGACCAGCCTGATCAACATGAAGAAACCCTGTCTCTACTAAAAATGCAAAATTAGCTGGGCATGATGGCAGGTGCCTGTAATCCCAGCTACTCAGAAGTCTGAAGCTGGAGAATTGCTTGAACCCAGGAGGCAGAGGTTACAGTGAGCTGAGATCACACCATTGCACTCCAGCCTGGGCAACAAGTGAAACTCCATCTCTAAAAAAGAAGGAGCAGAGACTAAGAGAAGGCAGAAGCCTGAATGTAGGTAGAGGGGGAAGGAGCAATCTTGTCCAGTGATGAGGAGGGTCGAGGAGATAGTGAGTCCTAGTCCTGTGTCCTTCCTCCTGCCTTTCAGTACAAGAGACTCCTTTGTACTTGAGCTAAATTAGGTAGGCTTCTGCAGCCCAATAAGCCTGACTCTACTGTGCTATTCTGTCAAGTCCCTGCCCTATCTGAGCCTCGGTCTGACTAG